AGGGGTGCGAGATGAGATGGTGACCTTTCGTGTGTGTGTGTGTGTGTGTGTGTGTGTGTGTGTGTGTGTGTGTGTGTGTGTGTGTGTGTGTGTGTGTGTGTGTGTGTGTGTGTGTGTGTGTGTGTGTGTGTGTGTGTGTGTGTGTGATGTCCCATAATGTCTAGCTTCTAGTACTTTGTAAAGTTTTGTGTTGCTTTAACGTAGAATAAAATGAAATAAATTGGTAGGAGATAAAAAGAGGAAAAATTAGTAAATTAAATGGGGGGAAGTTGAGAAAAGAGGAACAATTAGGAGATAAACAGAAGATAAGATGAAAGGAGGTAGAAGGAAGACAAAAAAGAGTAGAGGAAGAGAGGAAACCATGAGAGGATGTTGTAAGCAGCATCTGACAGCATGCAGGAGAGGTGCAATGACTTTGATTAAAAACCATCCTGCCTTTACTCTCCCTGTCACACACATCCGTCACTTCTCCTTTCAACTTGCTCTCTTCCTGCCGTTTTCATGCTGAGATGAAACGCTGCCCCACTAAAAATCTATAGAAAGTCGAGCTCAGTCAGAGGTTTCAAGTTTATTTCTGTCTAGAATTCAACATCTCTACATGTATATCAATCTCTCTTTTTCAACCGCTCACAAGTGTCAGTTAAGAAACACACAGATGTTCTCACTAACATTGAAACTAAAGGTAAAAGGTGTGCAAAAGAGAAAGAATAAAGGGATTCATTTACATTTGTCTGACGAACGTTTCTACAATACTGGCGGCTTCATCACAGGTTCTACATGTGGGTGAAGATATGTACAGTATGTGTGTTTGTATGTGTGTACTGATGTCACTGTATGTGTGTCAAACTTAAACCCCTCAGCTGTGAGGCGGTAACCTGGGATAATCAGCATTTCCTTATAAATCCACTGGCACTAATTCTCCTGCAGATGAAAAGCCGACACTTGGCTACGGGTGAAGAAACACTCCTTCAACTAATAACGCAAAAACTGTTTAGTGAGAGAGGGGTGGATAGAATGTCACTTGGGTGTGTCGCTTCTCTTCTTTTGTGATCTGTTAAATGTGCGTAGGTTGACTTAAAATGGTGAACGTCTTTGTTGTGGTTTTTACTCTAATGCCCTATTTGTGGGTCCATGTTTATCCAAAACGACTGGGAGAAAGGTGTTATGTTACTTGAGAACTGTTACAGACATAAACTAAGCATAAGCTGTACTGTTCTGTAGGCTCATACTCTAAGTGTGAATCTATACGCCTACTGCCTGAATCTGCTTTATGGTTTTCTCTTTCTTTGGGCCATTTATTCTGTTTTTAATTCAGTAGGTGAACCTATATTATTTTCATAAAATAGTGTGTGTGATCTTAACTGTGTGTATTAAACTAAAACGGAGCATTTTCTGTCAGCTCAGATTTTATTTCTGCTTTTTTAAACTGTAGTATGTGCTCATGAGTTTCAGTGTTGGTGTATACAGTATACTCATTTCATTTAATTTCAAACCTTTATTTAACCAGATTGGTCCCATTGAGATCATAGATCTCTTTTTCAAGGGAGACCTGCAGCATATAGGTTCCACATGAAACATAAAACAATAAAGGACATCATACATTATATTTACAGGTTACATTTACATAGTGCCTGGATATGCTGAATGAAAGGCAGGTTTTCCTATCAATAAAACCATTCTTGATCCTGCTTTAAATATTAAATATTCTTCTTTTCTATGGTAACATTGTTCTGTTGTTTAACACAATACATCTTATTTATATTTATTTTCTATTGTATTTATTTTGCATTGCATTTGACATTGAGGTAATCCATAAATAACAGAAATGAATGGGGTTGATTTACTTTTATATTATGATACTCAGATTCGGTTATTGATTACTCTTTTTTTTTTACAGCTCACTAGCAATACATATTTAAAGTGACCCTCCCAACCTTGCATGCAATTAGGGGTAATGGCCGGATGCTGGTTTTGCTGTGGTTGACCGGATGAAAAGTGAACATTACTAATTGAATAGAGTGTGTAGGGCTGAAATTGACATATTGCCCATCTTGCGCAACTTCCTGTGTCCACTATATGGTGCGAGAAAACACAAGCTTTACAAACTTTATGTTGCTCTACCAACTGCGGAACAAACAATGCAATTTTAATATTAATCGGATGCTGTCTTTCACACAAGGCTGACTTCTTGACAGGAGGTGGAACAATGAATATGACCCACACACATTCACACAGCGTTCTTCTAAATCATTTCAGATATTTCAGATACATAGCAGAGTGTAAAAGTAGTCACCACAGAACTGCTCCATCACACGTCTGACACAGCAGCATCAAACAGCTGTGGTGGAGGACAACACAAGGTGTAAAAGAACAACATCAACATCAATTTGAATTTGGCAACATGACTAAACACACACCATCTGTTTGACAGCGGTCCAGACTCTAATGTGTTTGTGAGTGATTGAAGGATAATCACTTTTTTTATTCATGCCATGATGGCTCTCTGATTTCTTGTTTCATTCAGTTGATCATGTCAGGTCTGCATTGAACACCTGATCACCACAGGAACACTTGGAAATCTCCTCGACATTCCTGTAATACAACTTTAAAATTCCTTATTGTCACTTGCAGGTCATTTCTCAGAGTATTTATACCTACAGTATGAAAAGATTTAGACTGCCAGGTTGCGAAACCGCAGGCAAAATTCAACAATTATTACAATTAGTTTTTAAAAGTCACTTCAGGACAACATTTTGACGAAGCATATAAATAAAATGGCTTTAACTTAAAGTTTGACTAACTCTAAACATATAAACAGATGGGTTCAGTACAGACTCATTACAAAATGCAGTTAAGATATAACTCAACAAATTACCACACCCTGAAAAAAGTGGAAAAATTGTTTATGCCAAGAATAATCTTTTGCGGATTCCCAGATCCAAATGTTCTTGTTTTTGTTATTCATGCCTTTATGATTCATGACACATTTGTGTGCAAAATCCATCTACTATTGTAAAAAAACGAATTAAAGTGCCACAAAATCAACAAATGGCTGCTGAAATATTAAACAACGAGCCGATGTGAGACGACGGTGAGGATGATAGATGGACAGCATTGTGTGTTTGCTAGTTCACCAGAGACAACAGCCATCTGCTGCGGCTCTTACTTTGTTTCACTAATTAGTAATGAGTTGTTCTCTCATATTACATGAATGCTGTAGTGGATGAGACTAAGTAATGATGCATGAGTGATAATGAAAGTAAAAAGTTAAAATGTAGCTTTCAGTGTTGACCTTAGAAAACAAGTCCAATATGTGCAACAGGTTGCCTTAGCTGATGAAAGGGTTAATATCCCAAGGAAAAAATGTAAGAAAGCCAATGTACTGTATCCACATCAACACTGTGACCTGATGTGAGCCTTTTAAAAGGGGCCAAAAGTTGTGCGTTTTTATCAGCAGCATATTACGACCCATATTTACGCTTGAATTATTCACAACCTCTAGTAGCAGTAGTAATTATGATGATAGCAAATTATTCAGCAGACGATGGCAGAAATGATGCGTATGGCAGCGGGAGGTGAGGGTGCATGTGTCAAAAAACACATGACGTTCAAATGGCAGTAAGTGTATACATTTTCGTATATGTTAACGTGCTTGTGTTATGCCTGGCAATGTCACAAATAGATTTGTTTTATCCAAACCACAATTAAAGGTCCCATGTCATGCTTTTCTGGTTATTACCCGTCCCCTTGTGTGTTATGTAGCTTTTTCTGCATGTAAACGGTCTGCAAAGTCACAAACCCTCAAAGTACACCCTGTAGCGAGTACAACTCTAACACAGAAAAGACCTGTCTATACTGCCCCAGAACGCCTCGTTGGACATTTTTCTTTTTCAATTTCTTCTTCCTTGGTATAGTGACGTAACGGGTATAGTGACGGCTCCGCGGATTGGTCCAAATGGACCAATCCGTGGAGCTCCTCACACGTGGAGCTCCTCACACACCAGGATCCCTTGGCGTCACTATCAAACGCAGTGGGGGCCCTTTAGCGTCAATTTTCAACTATCAGGGAGTCCCATTGACTTGCATAGAGCTCCCTGAACGTTGGTAATAGACGAGTTGGGATCGCGGATAAATGCTCTCAGCAGACCCATTCTCAGAGCGTTTATCAACCTTTTTCTTACTCAATATCAAGCCACACTTATTGTTTTTACTTCGGCTGTGAGTGTTTGTGTGTGCTCAGGCTGAATTCAGGCTGAGTTTCGTGGTGTCGCAACCAGGAAATGACACCAGTAAGCCAGCTCACACTGTCCGCTCCGCGAGCCTCAAAGGGCGCAGCAGCGAGCCCCGCAGTGTCCTGCCAACACGGCACCCAGACCCCACGCAACATTCTCATCTGTTTGTCATTACTGGTGTCATTTTCTGGTTGCTAACAAACGCCATTGTAACACATAAACACTGATGTTCCGCTGTAACGGTGGTGGACTCATCAGAACAGAGTGGGCGAGCTGACCAATCAGAGCACAGTGGGCTCATAGGGAGGGGTGGGGGCAGGAGCTCCAACAAGCCGTTTAGGACAGAGAGTGAATACACATACTATACAGAGATGCTGTATGAGAAAACCAATGTGAGTTTGGAACATTGAAAAATGTAAATCTATTCTAGTAGACCTCAACAATGGAATTATGATCAGTAGAAATGGCCATGTCATGGGACCTTTAACCTTACCAGGTAGTTCTGTACTGCTAATCGCCTATTTTCACAACATAGAAGTTGTTTGGATTGGATTGGAAGTTTGGGGATTAATAAAGTAGTTTTATTATTATAACTGTTATTTTTAGAAATTGTGACGATTGGTATACCATTGCTCACACAACTGGTTTGATGCTATTCTTATGTATTATAATTGTAGATGTTAACTCATTCGCTAATTACTTTTCGAAAAACTTGAGGAGACCCAAGGTCCCACATCAATAAATAAAGTTGGAAGACTTTTGACCCACCTGTGTCGTGCTGTTTCCCATTCAGTCTTGTTTGATAGGAGGGGAGGATTTCCAGTTTCACCAGTTCTGATGTGCTTGCTATGAGCTGTGTTGCCTCCAGGACCGTACAGTGTTCTGTCAACGTCCCGTCTATGGAGAGCAGATGATCCCCAGCATGCAACGCTCCACATCTGGAACAACACAGACGCAGGGACAATAAGGACTACGGTATCTTATCACAACAAAACACAGGAGAAGGAAATACCGTTGATTTGCCATTCCAGGAATACTTCGCCTCGTTTTGGTTCTGTTTGAATACCTTTCTGTATGCAGTATACCTGTTCAGTTGGTTATTTTAGAGCTTGTGCATCACTGACACAGAGTTCAAGTGCTTCATGTATATTTTAGAGCCAGACTGAGGCGTTGGGAAATACCCTGTCTGCTACTGTCTGTATTAGTTATTAGGCTGAAAGAACAGGCTATGTGTTTGTCTGTCTGTGCGTGCAAGTGTGTTAGAGAGAGGGAGAATACATTGCATACATATGCAATTGATGCATAAACAGTATGTAAGACTACTGCACAGGTTTCAGAATTGGGAAGGGTCATAAGCAAGACATGAGCTTCTTGAACAAAAAAATGCTACTTGCTGTAGTAAAACATATTTATATCAAATTTTTATATCACACATTCCTCTTTGTTACAGAGCTTTTTGTCAGGCCCTCTGCCTCTAATCAAGCTTAACACAACTATATATGATATAAGATTAACATGAATAAATAAGGCAGATTGACTTAATATGAATGCATTAACCCTCATTTCAATCACATTTACTTTCATAAAGTGCTGTCCTCTACTACTTTAGCGTTGTTTGATGTAAAATGTGGTTTCAGGAAAATATGGTAATGACATTTTCCCTGAAAAATATTTGGAGTTTCTTTCTGGCTTCATGTGACCTTCACCACATTCAGCCTGCCTGTAGCCTGAGAATTAAAAACCAGAAGCAGAATAAAAACTATGTTCAAATCTTGAACATTGACTCTTAACAACTTGGGATTTATCTAATCTTGAATACATCAAGGTCAAACTGCAGGGGTGAAAATATGTGTGTCTCTGTGTGTGTGTGTTTGTGTGTGTGTGTGTGTGTGTGTGTGTGTTTGTTTGAGTGTCTGAGTGTGTGTCTGTGTGTGTGTGTCTCTGTGTGTGTGTGTTTGTGTGTGTGTGTGTGTGTGTGTGTGTGTGTGTGTGTGTGTGTGTGTCTCTGTGTGTGTGTGTGTGTTTGTGTGTGTGTGTGTGTTTGTTTGAGTGAGTGTGTGTCTGTGTGTGTGCGTGTTTGTGTGTGTTTGTGTGTGTGTTTGTTTGAGTGTCTGAGTGTGTGTGTGTGTGTGTGTGTGTGTGTGTGTGTGTGTGTGTACCTGTCCACCACGCTGCCAGGTTTAACCCGGTCGATGACGATGACCTGCTTGTTCCGATGATTGGCCGATGTCAGCGTGATGCCCAGCGTTGCTCCCGGCGACTTCACTATTTCCACCAACAGCGGCCCGGAGGCATTCGTTACTGTGTCTGAGTGGGAGAATCAAAATTAATCATTATGCGCTTAACTCTGATCTGATGCTCCTGTAATATGACAGAATTACATTCTGTATCACCAACATTAATAGTACACCAGCTTGAGGCAGTGTGAGAGAGAGAGAGAGAGAGAGAGAGAGAGAGAGAGAGAGAGAGAGAGAGAGAGAGAGAGAGAGAGAGAGAGAGAGAGAGTCTCACCCATGATGGTGATGTCATACTCTATCTGGAACAGGGCTTCCTGGCCACACTGAGCCAACACGCTAAGGGCGTCGCAGTGGTTGGCGTTGTGCAGCGGGACGCCGTCCACACTGAGGAGACGATCCCCGGGGCGCAGAGTTCCCTCCCTGAACACACAGACAATCAACATGTATCTGAAGGTAAAATACAATATTTAATGAAAAAACAGTTAAAAGACAAGAACTTAGAAACACAGACAAACTCAAAATATTCTAGCAAATTAGAGCTGCACGATTTGGATAAAAAAATTACGATACTGAAAAGATGGATAATTTTTCATTATCATTGAAAGATATATTTTAAATTATCCAACATTTTCTTAAATCTGTAGAACACAATTTGTAGGCAGGGACATCTCTGCAGCACCACAAAACAAATATTGCGCCTCCTGCGATTTGAATATTAGGGCAGATTTTTCTGAGATCTGACGAAAAGTGATTTAGTTTTTTATGAATTCTGAGAAAAAACAATCTGAATTTGAAATTAAAGTAAGAATTCTGAGGGAAAACTAGTCTAAATTGTGAGGTCGTTAAAGTGAGTATTTTTAAGTCAAAATTCTGACTTTTTCCTCAGAATTTCTAAATGTACTTTTGGTCAGATCCCATAAAAAAAATTAACCTAAACCTCTTCTGTCAATATAACACCAACACAATTGATCATTTTAGCACACATAAACAAACTTTGTGGAGTCCTACATTTGAACTTTTGTATTTCCCCTTTTAGTGATTCATCAATTTGTTTTTGTTTTCTCCGCTTTTTCACTCATTGCTATCTCCACTGTATATGGGTTGAATGCATCTTATTTGTATGATTCCGTAACAGATCTTATACAATTACAAAGTACATTTCTTCATGTAACATTATGAAAAAAATTGTACACAACTCTAATGGGGGGGGGGGGGGGGGGGGAGGAGAGAGAGAGAGAGAGAGAGAGAGAGAGAGAGAGAGAGAGAGAGAGAGAGAGAGAGAGAGAGAGAGAGAGAGAGCACGCTCGTGAACTGTCAACGGAGGGGGGGGGACGGGGGACGCACGTTCGCAAACTGTTACGCAGCGTCCACAGGGCGGCGTGCGTTGAAGCTTGCCGGTGAGCTTGTCTGAAACTCGACCAACAACCAATCACATGAATCTCCCGCCCCGGACACACAAGCACGCGGTTTGATTGGCTAGAGCTTGTACTGGCATCTGATTTGATTGGCTGACGCTTCCGCCGAAGCTTCAAAAGTTGAACATTGCTCAACTTTTGAAGCAAGCAACGCGAGCAAAGCGAAACAACGCTCCCACAATGCAGTTCGGCAAAGCGTGACGTCACCCCATTCAAAGTGAATGGGCAGAAGCGTTGAAGCTTCAACGCACGCCGCCGTGTGGACGGGCCGTTAGCACCGGTGTTATGCTGTGTTATGCATGCCGACTGCACCTCGCGGGAGCGCGCACAAAAACTCCCAGATATGAAGGGCCATGTAGGCCAAAATTCAAACTAACCTCGCACACACACTACTGAAAACATCTGGCCTTGTACACACACTACTGAAATACTCTCACATTGACTAGTGAACACCTCACACACAGGGCCGTATCCAGGATTTCATAAATACCGAGGTCCAAACATGATAAGGGGGTTCGGGGGTATACCCCCCTTGAGATTTTTGGGATTTTCATGATCTAGTTAGGTGCTTTTTAAGTCCTGTGGGGGGTCACAAATTGGATAATATATTGATTTCAAACCATGTCAGTGGGCTGCAGTATAAATTATTTTTGAAAGTGTAATACATAAGAATCAGTTGATTGTTACTATTAATGATCTGGACATGCAGAAGAGGCTAAAATGATCACAAAACATTGTCAACATTCATTTTCCATGTCTCTCTCCTTTCCATAACCTGCACCCTCTCTTCCATCTTCTTTAGTCTCTCTGTCTTCTTCCTGTTCATTACTCTCTCTGTCCTCTACTCTTTCTCTTTGTTCAATCTCTCCCTCGTTGTTCACTTGTTGCTCCTCCTCACTTGTCGCTCCTGCCAGTGAATTAAAAGCAATTCAGCAATTTAGTTCATTTCACTTGTTTGTTTGCATTATTTTTTTAATTTAAATCTGTTTTGTTTGATTCTCAAAAGAGAACAAAGATGTAAGCAAATTGTGTGGTTTTATACAATTGTATGTTATTATGACATCATAACTGCAATAGATATATGTTGTTTTAAAATTATGCCTATTGTCTATAGTGTAAATGAAGACTATTGTTATAGATAGATAGATAGATAGATAGATAGATAGATAGATAAATAGATCAGATGGGGTTATTAAGCCTATATTCTTTTGTGTGACTGTACCTGCAGTTCCTCCCTGACTTCCATCACTTTCTCTCTCTCTCTTTCTCTCTGCCTGTCCTGTCTCTTCCTTACCAAAGCTGAGCTTCGACTGACGTAGTCTTTTCATTATATCTGAGTCAGTGTAAAAAGAAAACAATACAATGTTATATCTTCAATGTTTTACTCAAATTGAAATGAAAGAAAAGCATTACAACGTTTGTTAAAAGGTAATCCTTCTGACATTGGATGAATGTAATTAACTGTAGCTCTAGCTAGTTTATTCACGCAATTTAAACCAAAGTATAGCCTATAGCTGCAACATAAGTTAGTGAGCATGTTGTCGGACTTCCACTGACTAACGTAGTGCGTTCACACAGGATCTGCTGGTCATATGATCCTGTGAGGAACAGAAACACAAGCAGCCCGCTGAACTCAGATCTCTAGATACCTCATCACTCCTCCGCTGCTCCGATACAAGTCCGAGCTGCGGTGGTTTGTTGATACATGTCGTCTTCTTCTGTTTGCTTCAATCGAGGCTACGTAGTTATGCAGCGCCCCCATCGGCAGTAAATGGAAGTACTACAAAGAACCCCGTTTAGTGCAGTTATTTCACACGTTTTGTTATATACACAGCTCGGAAATTATTACCGAGGTCCGGACCTCGGTGACCTCAATGGTGGATACGGCCCTGCTCACACACACACAACTGAAAATTAAACCTCACGCACATACTACTGAAAATTAACCTCACACACACACAACTGAAAATTAACCTCAAACACACACTATTGAAATACTCTCACATTCACTAGTGAACACCTCGGATATACAACTGAAAATTAAACCTCACACACACGCAACTGAAAATTAACCTCACACACATACTACTAAAATACTCTCACATTCACTACTGAAAACCTTACACACACACACACACACTCCTGAAATCATTTTACTGAAAGGTTCTCAGTAGGGAATGTGCATGTGTTTCACCTATGTGTGTGAGGGGGATTCTTGCTGTAACGGAAGTCATTGTAATGAAACGGAAGTACCAAACTGCTAGTGGTCGCTCTGCTAGCTCCGTTAGCTCCAGGGTGCTACAGGGGCTCAGCTGCTTTGCTGATCCGGAGAACACAACTTGAACTCGGTCGTGTTTGTTGTGTTGATGCCTGGTGCAGTATTCTTCATTGAAATATCGGACTTATCTTATGGCTCTGCGGTTACAACAGACCGTCTATGAATGCAGTTCCTTCGGTAAGTGAAATTCAAGCACTTTATTTCTTACTGGTGTTTTTATTCAGCTAAGCTACATCTGTGCTAATGATGCTATCCGTAGCATCCAAGTTATAATAGAGAAGTACATAATAGAGGAGTGTAAAACATTAAGAAGGATTATACTGTAGAACAAAAGGCTTCTGTGTGTTGGTAAAATAAGGTCATCCTCGTACATTAGATAGTTAGTTTGCTAGTTAGGTAACTGTATCCATTGTTATTGTTAATTTAAATTAGCTATGCTCGACGATGCAGACAGCTAGCGTCACAGTAGTGTTGAAGACAAGCGTACTGTATGGGGCATTCTACCGAATTAGTGCAAAGTGCGGTCCCACAACAAGAAAAACTATTTAACAAAACAATTAAGTATTCAGACATAGATATTTACTAAGAATTAGAGATGGCAAATCCGGATCCTTTTACGGACTCAGGGTCTTCTGAGTCAGTCATTGAAGAGATCCGGATCATACGAGTCATTTGAGTCATATGAGTCAGCATCACCAAGACCGTAGAAATCCTATCGGTGAAACCGAAAAGTTGTTGCATTTCACGAGCATATTAAACTGACGTTATATTAACCTCCGCTACACAGTGTATTTTGCTTTAATAAAAAATGTTGATCACAAAAAAAAGGGTTATTTTGCGATTTGGCAAATCTGAGTCTGCTGTTGACTCGTGCATGAGGACGAGTCTGCTGGATCTCTGGATCTGCTGCTATATGGTTACGGCTCTGAGTCCGCACGAGTCTGCTGTGTTTTGCACAGTGAGTCAGGATTTGCGAATCTGAGTCTGTGAAGTTCCGCTGACTAACTCGTAGGCTACTGGTCTCTCTCGATCATTGACCTGGATTCACGGATCCCGCGATTTTGATTAAGTCCATTATGTTTCCGGCTCGAAATGAAGTTTCAGTCTAGACTTCTAACAAAATTGTCATGTTGTGCAACAGTCTCCTGCGTGTAATAGCTGCATTTCCAATAAGGATCTTACTTGGCAAAACGTTTATTTTGAACATAGCACACAAAAAGAAACAAACAATGACAAATGATAGAAAATTGCAAAACAGTTAGAATATATAAAATGTCTTAATTATACAATTATTATTATTAAACATATAATTATATCTAATCATATGCCCCCCATATTTTCTCATGGACTGCGTAATCATTGCAATACTGGTGTTTGTATGTGTTAAATGTGTGTAAAGTGGTGTCTTTTGCTTTAATAAAACATATTGATCACAAAAAAAAGGTCATTTTGCGATTTAGCGAATCTGAGTCTGCTGTTGAATCGTGCATGATGACGAGTCTGCTGGATCTCTGGATCTGCTGCTATACGGTTACGGCTCTGAGTCCGCACGAGTCTGCTATGTTTTGCACAGTGAGTCAGGATTTGCGAATCTGCGAGTCTGCTGTTGACTCGTGCATAATATAGCCGCTGGAGGAGGGGCTATGCTCGTGCACATGACGAGTATGGATCTCTGGATCTGCTATGCTATTACGGTTAGGAGCCGTCGGCTCCTCTGAGTCCCCACG